TTGCTTTGACTGCTGACAGTGTGCTGTCCTAATTGTATAAGCAACTGCTGAACGTTGCCAAGACAACAAAATCCCTGCTTCACAAAAAAGTTTGTCAGATATTCTAGGCCTATAGGCCAGACATGGATGCCCCAACGTTACCTGGGTGACTGTTTATGCAGTCTCACTGTCTCTGTCATTTCTATAGTTTTATAGTTCATAGCAGTTGCTTGTGCTGCATTCCTGTTTACTCAGGTAATATTATATCCTTCTTGGATCTCTGATGGGGAGTGAAGACTAGATGATATTTCTTGTTACCAAATTCAGAAAAAAACTTACATAAGAGATAAAGTTTATAAGGTTGAAAAACAAAAGCTTAAGTTGTTTAAGAAGATGTTTTTATTTCTTTTTTTTTTTTTTTTTTTTTCTTTCGAGATAGGGTTTCTCTGTAGCTTTGGAGCCTGGATGTTTTTATTTCTAATGTAAGGCTATCAGGTTTTCTTTTATTATTATTATTATTATTATTATTATTATTATTTATTAAAGATTTCTGTCTCCTCCCTGCAACTGCCTCCCATCCCATTTCCCTCCCCCTCCCCCAATTAACTCCCCCCTGTCAGCCTGAAGAGCAGTCAGGGTTCCCTGCCCTATGGGGAGTCCAAGGATCTCCCACCTCCTTCCAGGTCTAGTAAGGTGAACATCCAAACAGCCTAGGCTCCCACAAAGCCAGTACGTGCAGTAGGATCAAAACCCAGTGCCATTGTTCTTGACTTCTCAGCAGTCCTCATTGTCCGCTATGTTCAGCGAGTCCAGTTTTATCCCAGGCTTTTCAGATGCTAATAGATGGTGCTAATAGAGCCCAGGAACTGCCAGAAGAAAAGAACAATTTTCACCACACATAAGAAGCAGTCAATGGGGGCTGGAGAGATGGCTCAGAGGTTAAGAGTACTGGCTGCTCTTCCAGAGGTCCTGAGTTCAATTCCCAGCAACCACATGGTGGTTCACAACCATCTGTACTGAGATCTGGCGCCCTGCTCTGGCGTGCGGGCATACATCGAGGCAGAATGTTGTATACATAATAAATAAATAAATATTTAAAAAAAAAAGAAGCAGTCAAAAGAGTCCTCTGCAAGTCTGGATTTAAAATAAGATCAATATAAGTTAAAGAATATTTGTTTGCTTTCTTGTTGTGCTGGGATTCAAACCCACACCTGTGCATGCTAGAAAGGCACCCTAACACTAAGTGAATAGCTCCAGCCTTTAGAATACTTTTAAATTTAAACAAAATATGGATTAAGAGAAAGAAAGGACTTTCAAATACGCAAATTTAGGTCAAATAAAATATACTGTATTCTGTAAGAAAAAAAGAGGAAGATGTTTTTAGGTATAAAATACATTTTTAGGAAGGTAATACAAGTTATTACAGAAAATGGTTTAGGTATAAAACTTTGAACTCACTAAACAGTACTTTCTCTGAATTTGCCACATACATATGGACTAAATATTGTGAATGTAATTATTACCCAATAATAATGATGATGATGATGATGATTTTTTTTTTTTTTTTTTTTTTTTTTTGGTTTTTCGAGACAGGGTTTCTCTGTGGCTTTGGAGCCTGTCCTGGCACTAGCTCTTGTAGACCAGGCTGGTCTCGAACTCACAGAGATCCGCCTGCCTCTGCCTCCCGAGTGCTGGGATTAAAGGCGTGCGCCACCACCGCCCAGCTGATGATGATTTTTTTGAGACAGGGTTTCTCTGTGTAACAATACTGGCTGTCCTGGAACTCTCTTTGTAGATCAGTCTGACTTCAAACTCACAGAAGTCTGCCTGCCTCTGCCTCCCAAGTGCTGGGATTTAAGGCATGTGCCACACCACCTGGTTGAGACTTAATCTTCAAACTAACAAAAACCCCACAAACAACACTCCTGCCTCCAACCAAACCAAACAGAGTCAGGTGAGATGCCTCAGCAGTGAAAGCACGTGCTTGCTACAAAGCCTGACTGCTTAAATTCATCTCCAGGATTCACAATGTGGGCCCAGCAGCTCCCACATTTTCTTGTCTTCTTTGTTCTTCCTCCTCTTCTTTAATTGGTGATGGAAGATTAGTAGCTTAGCTGGGCGGTGGTGGCGCACGCCTTTAATCCCAGCACTCAGGAGGCAGAGGCAGGTGGATCTCTGTGAGTTCGAGGCCAGCCTGGTCTACAAGAGCTAGTTCCAGGACAGGAACCAAAAAGCTACAGAGAAACCCTGTCTCGAAAAACAAGAAAAAAAAAAAAAAGATTAGTAGCTTAGCAGGCACAAAGCTCTGAGTTTGGGCCTAAGCACAATAAAATTAGGATGCTAAACACACATACCCCACGGAGGACCTCACCTAACCCCAGCTGGCCTCAGGCTCTGTAGCTGTCCTCCTGCCTCTACTCCCACAGGCTGGGATTACATGTGTGTACCACTACACCTAGCTTCACAGTGCTCTTGTCTTCTCCCTGTCCTCACTAAGCTCTTTTGTCTACAGCAGTGTAATTCTGGCCCTGTTCAGACTTCTAGGTGCACCAGATGCCAGCAGAAGCCCCAGGAAAAGGTGGTAGCTGCTTCGTGCCCTATGTTTCCTGCCCATTGACTATGAGGTGTGGGTTCTACTTCAGCACTTGATCTCTGCTCAGTCCCTCGATGACTATAACCTTGCTGTTTTCTGGTCTCTACGTCTAATTCACTTCTCCCTGCTTGCTCAAGGCCCAAGAAGGCTGGCACTGGGGTGACTGTAGTGGCATTTCATTTGTATTTTAATAAGTAAAGCTTGTCTGAGGATCAGAAAAGTAAAACAGCCACACTGGTCAACCTTACAGACCAGGCAGTGGTGACACACACCTTTAATCCCATGCCATTAATGACACTAGCTTGTCACAGAAACCAGTCAGTAGTGTCTTCTTAATTTCTTTCTTTCTTTTTATCGAGACAAGATTTCTCTGTAACTTTGGTGACTATCCTGGAACTAGCTCTTATAGACCAGGCTGGCCTTGAACTCACAGAGATCCACCTGCCTCTGCCTCCTGAGTGCTGAGATTAAAGGCATGTGCCACCACTGCCTGGCTGGTTTCTTAATTTCTTAAATTCCTTAATCCTAGAACTAGAGAGGATTATAAGACGGGAGAAGACAGCTCTCTGCCTCATTTTGAGGTTTCCTGGAGGCAGGATCACCATTTTCGGACTGAAGTCAAGGTAAGAGACAGTGGCTGGTTGCTTTGCTTTTCTTGTCTTCAAGTTGAACCCCAATATCTGTCTCTGAGTTTTTATTACTCATGCTTCATGTGACTTCATTGCACCAGTGCCTAAATGCTTACGTTCTCATTGCTTCCAATCATAGCCATACTTGAACCTTACCTAATGCTCACGATGCCCCGACACCGGTTTATTCCTATTTTAGCAGGTGCTGACATTACCTCCCTCAGATAGACAGAGTCCAGATGGGTCAGGCAGTGCTGTCAGCATTACCGAGTGTGCAGCAGAGCCATGGGTGTCTCTGGGGCCTGGGTGTGTTTGTTCATGATGGGGTTTAGAACGTGCAGACCTCAGGTTATGGAGAAAAGGCCAGAGGCTGCCACCTGATAAAGCTGAAGGCCTTATCTCAACACCCAAACACACACTGCAGAGGTTGGGGGCAGAGTGCTTTTTTAAATAACAAGCCAGCTTGGAAAACAGGGACTTACTACCCTTATTGCCACTTACCATAAACTTTTCCTGTGGTTTTTGACAGGAGGGGGTGAGGTTTACAGACGTTGCTCTGGCTAAGGACAGTGAGCATGCTAATCTAAAAGAAAACGGACCCAAATAAGACTGTTTGCTGTTGTTGTATCATGACCAATTCCTTTCCACGCTCTGGCTGTCATCACTCCTGGGGTGACTGTCTCCAGAGCCTGAGCCAAGAGTGTGTTCCTAGATGTCATGGTGTGCAATTTAATCACCACTGAGAGAACTGTGCTTAGCATGGTGGCACAAACTTGAAATCCCAGCATTGGGGAGACTGAGAAAGATCATGAGTTCCAGGCTAGCTGGGTTACAGAGAGAGACTCCATCTAAAAGAAGAAAAAAAATTTTTGGAAGATGGAGGAGAAGGGAAAAAGGAGGTAGGTCTGTCTCGAGAGAGCTGAGCCTGGATGAGGACGGCTGTTCAAATTTAGCAGTTCCACCCAAGGTCTGTCTAGAAAGGACAGACAGATTCTGGAGGCCAATTTCTGTTCTGATGCCTGTGTTTCCTCCTTCCTGAGGACCCAGGTCTCTCCAGGCGGCATGGGTGGGGCTCAAGTTCAGTGTGTCCATTGCTTCCCTTTAGGTAACTGCCCTACACCCAAGGACACAGTCTACTGGGCTAGGTGGCATCAGGACCCTGAGAGACAGGATCCTGGTACAAACAAGCCAGTTCCTGCCCTAGGCATTTCAATTTCAAGCATGAGCAACAACAGAAGATGACAATATCTGGCCTTAAACAAGAGGTGGCAGGAAGCAGGTGCCAGGTGGCTGAATTCAGGTCCCAGAAAGGAGGCTTTAAGCCAGACACTTACCTTGCCAGAGGCTCAGCTTGCCCCATGGAAGGGATGCTTATCTATCCATTCTCTGAAGACCCCAATCTATTAGGAATTTCTGCCTGACCTGTCCTCCTATAGCTGTGCAAGTTGCCCATTGCACATTTTTCTGCTTGCACTGGCAAACTAGAAACTGAATTTAAACTATCCATGAGCCTCAGGCTGGGACTGGGAACAAGTAGTTTTTTTGGTAATTTATACTGAAGGCAGGTGTTCTTCTAGGGAACTGCCAACTCCTTCTTCTCAAACCTTTCTCTTTCTCCTTGCTTCCCTGTTTTAATGTTACCTCCAGGAAGCCTGCTTGGTCTCTTGCAGATGGAACCAGCTAGCCTGTCTTGAGCTTCCACGTCTGCACGTTCCTTGCTAAACCAGTTACGCCTCTGCTCTGCTCTGTCCCTCTGGACTCCAGCATTCCAGGTGAGGGCTAAAGTCGGTGATACACAACGGCTCAGCCAAGAACTGGTAAAGGAGTGCTTTATTCTCACTGCTGGACAGAGGCGACACCCAGGACCTTGGTAGCAGCAAGTAATCCCTCCCAGTCCAGCCTTTCCTCTTGGCCTGGCAGCTGCAGGCCACTCAGGGAGCCAGGGTGACAGCCTTCGCCTGGGGGCGGGGGGAGCAGCAGTAGCAGCAGCAGATCACGGCAGGGTTGGGAGTGTTAGTCTTGCCGGTTGGTGCCTGTCCCCCCAAGCTGGTGTCTGATGAGGGTAGGGGCCTGGACAGTGAGCTGGGGACACTGGAGAAGCTCAGTCGGCAGTAAAGACACGACTGGAAATGTCATCAAGGAGCCAGTCGATACCAGGCAGCAGGTCCTCCCCGGTGACGGCACTGCAGCCCTGGATGCGCCAGTGGTGGCTGCGAATGGAGGCCAGGTCCAGAGCCTGGGGACAGAAGGGACTGGTGGAACCAGCAGGCCTTAGCCTGTCCTTTCCCAGTCACACAATGGGAGACTCTAGCTGCACACCAGTGCCACCCCTCAGTGACATAAAATCACGGGCTGCTGAGTGTCTGCCAGAGCCAGGCATTTTGCAAGGACTAGAGGTCATCGGTCTCTTGCTAAGGCCTCCTGATCCAGGGATGATGTGGTCCACTTTACCAAGGAAGGAATCCAAACTCAGAGGCTCCATAGCCTTCCACATCACACAGCTGGTTAAAAGGTGACAGAAAGATTCTAAAGCAGAGATAGTGGTGCACATGGGTGGTGGAGCCAGGAGGTGTCACATGAAACCCATCTCAAACAAACAAAAAATCGAGATTCTAAGCCTGAAGAGTAATGGCTAAGGTGCAGCTAAGGCCCAGGGCCAGGTCAGCATGAGGCGCAATCCTGGTTCATTTACCCACTATGTGACTCGACCTTCTGTGTCTTCTGCACCCTTTGCAGAATGGTGATAGGCATTTTCCCTCATGAGACTGTCGTATAAACAAAGAATGCCTCCACACAGAGAGCACCGCAATGGGAAGCACTCGCGCAGCCTGGCTCCTGGGACCCTGCACTCCATTTATTACTCATGCAATGCTGGGTGCTCTGCCTCGGTCTTAGCCAGGCATGGAGGTGTATGCTTGAAGTTCCAGCTATTGCGTTTGAGACCAGCCTGGGCTACATATGTTCTAGGCCCGCCTAGGCTACAGAAACGCTGTCTCAGAAGTAAATAAAAAAAGGCCGGGCCTGGGGATGTGGCTCAGTTAGTAAAGTGCTCGCCCAGCAGCATGCGGCTCTGGGAACAACAACCAGCACTGCAGGCACTGACACTGCCATGCACACCTCAATCCTACGTACTCTCGTGCGGAGGCAGGAGACCAACAGTTCAGGGTGTCCTTGCCTTCCTAGTAAGTCTCAGGCCTGCTAGGGCTGCTGAAACCCAGTTTCAAAAAACCAAAACTAAATAAAATTAAAGATAATAAAGTACTAATGACCTTTCAGTTTTACTCAGTGAACATGTACCAGGGCCCCACTCACCTCCTGAATAGCAGTAGAGGACAGGGCTCCAGGCAGGTCCTGCTTGTTTGCAAAGATGAGGAGGGTCGCTCCAGCCAGGCGCTAGGGAAACAGAACAGGTTGGGGCTCGGGAGGCTTAGAGTACAGCCTGATCCCTTCTCTACAAGCGGTCAGCATGCAGGGTCAGGAGCAGGGAGCCCCAGGTGGGGTAGGCAAAGTGGACAGAGCTGCTGATGCTAGCTACCACCCAGTGAGCATCTCTCCCCTCCATGTCTCAGGTTCCTACCACCCAGTGAGCATCTCTCCCCTCCATGTCTCAGGTTCCTCTTCCATAATCAGGGGGAGGGTGGTGTTCACAGGATCCGAGCCCTCTGTAGCTCTGGCCATGTGCAGAAAGTATAAGCATGCTGGAGGCTGCCCTGAGGATGTTGGGACATGACCACCTGCCCTTCCTCTCAGTTCATGGATCCTTAAGTTGTACTCCCAGTAGACTGCCCTGTTGGCCTTTTTCTCTACTTCTTCTTGGTGTGCTTGCAACTTGAAACTCCCCAGATGCAAAGAGAAATCTAACTTTTGAAACTCGTCCTGCTGGGCCTTCAACAACAGTGACCTCTCCTGACCTGTTCACTATTCCAGAAGGGGTTGCATGCATACTGGTGGCATGTGTCTGTTAGCCTGGCCTTCCTATGTATTCCTGTTGGTTTCTGCACAGGCATTAGCAGCTCCCTCTTACCCTCTCAAAAGTGCCTTGGCCTCAACTAACTGAAATGTGGGAACATGATTCAAGTTAGCAGTATCCAAACAAAACTTGGAGCTTATGGCAATTCCTGAGCATGGCTTAGTGGTGCCCAACTGTAATCTTCACACTCAGGAGGCTAAGGCAGAAGGATACAGAATTTGAAGCCAGCCCGGGCTACTAGGGAAACCTGACCCCAGCTCACCCAAAATCAACCCTGCCAAAATAAATAGCTAATAATGGGATGTGGCAGCACACTCCAGTAATCCCATTGTTTGGGAAGTGGAGGTCAGGGAATCAGGAGTTCAAGGCCAGCCTCAGCCAGCTGAGGCCAGCCTGAGACACAGAGTAAAACCCTGTGTCAACAAAACAAAAAAGGTATTTTGGTCCAGACAACAAATGTCAAGATTAGCCTAATTATGATCTGAGGAATGTGGCAGCTGAGGCTCAAATAGGTTGTGTCTTCTCAAAGCCACACAGCAAGGTTAGATTCTATGCAAGTTTCACTGGCTTCCTGAGCTTCGCCCCTGCCCTGGTCTTGAGGCAGCTTCTGCAGTCATGGGACTGAAATTCAGGGTGATGATGGGTAAAAAAAAAAAAGAGACAGGAGTCCAGGTCTTTGCCTAGGGCCCAGTGAAGGATCACCCGCTTCACTATCTGGCGAATCACAGCCCACGTGGCAGATATTTGGCCAGGCTGCAGGCGGAAGCCCAGGGCGCACCTCCTCCACCAGCAGGCTCTGCAGCTCACGCTGACAGTCCTGCATGCGCTGGCGGTCGGCACTGTCCACCACCCAGATGAGGCCATCTGTGCTCTCAAAGTAGTTCCGCCAGTAGGAGCGCAGAGACTTCTGGCCACCCACATCCCAGATGTTCAGTTTGAATCTGGGAAGGAAGGAGCAATGAAGGTCAGGTTGGTCCTGTCCCCACTGCCTTCCCCCAGCCCCACGTGGCCCCCAGTGACCCTATTCACCCCCAGCCCCACATGGCCTTCAGCAACCCTACTTACCCCTGGTCTCTTCCCCCAGCCCCACGTGGCCCTCAGCGACCCTACTCACCCCAGGGTGACCATACTCACCCCCGGTGTTCTAGGGTTTTGATGTTGAAGCCCAGTGTTGGGGAGATGGTATCTACATCTTCCCCGTTGAACTTCTTAAGGATGGTTGTTTTGCCAGCATTGTCCAAGCCACTGGGGCACATAGGCTAAGGAGAAGTCCCTGAGCTCTGCTGGAGGACGTCATCACACTATCGACCTCTTAGGGACTAGTATTTTCCTACTGTATACTGAGCACATGCCTGGCCCATACTTGGCTTGAGATAAATGTGGAAGATAATTATGTTACTCAAAGTAACATAATTTATGCAACAAATATTAAGTGCCTATTATGTGTCAGGCCCCTCAGTTGTTGATGGAAAAAGTCTCTGCCCTGATGGCACTTAAACACTAGCAAAAGAAACCAAACAATGGGGCTGGAGAGACGGCTCATCAGTAAAGAGCACTAGCTGCTCTTGCAGAAGACCTGGGTCCAGTTCCCAACACCCACATGGTGATTCACAACCAAACACTGACCTCTATGGACACCAGGCACACCACATAATACACATACATACATATAGGTAAAATACTCACAGAAAAAAGTCTAAAAAAATTAAAGACTAAATAAAGCAGGAGAGGAGAAAGTTGAGTACCTGGGGTTCCTGAGACCAGTGAGAGACATTCCTGAAAGGAGTGACTTTCCCCTTAGGTACCAGATAAGGCTCTGTGTGGTCTTGAGGCCCAAAATAGACGGGCCCAGTCTTCTGAAGGACCAAGTGAAGTGGGACCCACTTTCTAGATAGGAACCACCACCTAGAGGTGGGACCCACCTTCATCTGTTTCTGGAACGATCCGCAGCCTCTGCTGCAGAAAACAAACCACTGGGTAAGTTCAACAGCAGGTGAGAAGTTGGGGTGACCACAGTCTGAATGGAGGGGTGAGGGAAGGAACAGGCTTTGCGTTTGGAACCTCTCCCTGCTCACCTGATGCAGGTCCCGGGACCCCATCTGTGAGAGGGGAGCAGAGTACCTCTCATCATCTGCGGCCACACCTTAGCTTGGGAAGCTGGTCGCTGTCATCCTGTGCTTTCCCACGTCATTCCACCTCTCACGGGTCCCTCTCTCCGTCTCTTCTTCATTAGCAAACTCTCATCTCTCCTGCACCAGCACCCTGTGTCCACCCTCTCCCATCTAGTGATTCAGGTGCGGTTCCTGGGAACCGGTGTTTACATGCGGCTGCACCAACCTCTATCCTCCTGCTTTTCTTCAAAGACAGGGCCTTACTATCTGATCTGTAACTCTATGTAAAGAGACTGCTATCAAACTTGTGGTGATTCTCCAGACTATGCCTCTGCCTCCTGAGTGCTAGAATTACAGGCGTGTAACATTATGTTGGTCCTTTCCCCCTGTTTTGTTTTTGAGACAAGGTCTCTCTCTGTGTAGCCCTGGCTGGCCTAGAACTCACTATGTAGACCAGGCTGGCCTCAGTATTTGCCTGCCTCTGCCTCCCAAGTGCTGGGATTAAAGGTGTGTGGTACCACGCCTGTTTTTGTTTTAAGTATTTTATTTTTATTTATTTATTTATTTATTCGGTTTTTTGAGACAGGGTTTCTCTGTGGCTTTGTAGCCTGTCCTGGAACTCCTCTGTAAACCAGGCTGGTCTCGAACTCACAGAGATCCGCCTGCCTCTGCCTCCTGAGTGCTGGGATTAAAGGCGTGCGCCACCATCACACGACTTGTTTTAAGTATAATTGTTTTGCCTGCATGCATATATATGCAACAAATGAGTGAAGTGCCCACAGAAGCCAGAAGAGGACCCTTGGACTGGTCACCCACGGCTCTGAGGCACCAAGTGGATACTGGGAACGGAACCTCTGCTCTCTATGAGAGCAAGTGCTCTTAGCTACTTTTCCCCTGACGCTTCCCAAGCCTCATCTCGCCAGGTGGGTCCCTCATCCTTACTGCTCCCCAGTGGCTAAGTGGCCCAACTACTCTTCCCCTGATGCTTCCCAAACCTCATCTCACCAGGTGGGTCCCTCATCCTTACTGCTCCCCAGTGGCTAAGTGGCCCATCTACTTTCCCCTGACGCTTCCCAAGCCTCATTTCACCAGGTGGGTCCCTCATCCTTACTGCTCCCCAGTGGCTAGGTGGGTCCTTCATCCTTACTGCTCCCCAGTGGCTAGGTGGGTCCCTCATCCTTACTGCTCCCCAGTGGCTAGGTGGGTCCCTCATCCTTACTGCTCCCCAGTGGCTAGGTGGGTCCCTCATCCTTACTGCTCCCCAGTGGCTAGGTGGCCCATCTTGCGCAAAACCCAAGCACTGCCACTTTTACGTCATCTGGATCCCTGCTACTCATCTGACCTCCCACGAGTGTCTGAACATCTCAATCTCAGGGCTCCCCAGGTGGGTCATCCCAGAGTCATTTCTATGCTGACGATTGTCACCCACCTGCCCAAACAGAGCCGGGGCTGGTGTCTTCCCAGGGACCTTCCCCTTCTAGCTTAGCAAGTGTCTCCTTGTTCTGATTACTCTGGCCAGAGACCAGAGACTGGGGCTTCAGTTCCCCCCTCACATTCTCCACCAATCCTGCAGCAGGTTCTACCAGCACTAATGTCATTTCCTCCCACTTCCATGACCTCACTTCCTCCATCGTGCTCCCAGCCCATGGGCTCTGCCTCTTTCCAGCCACTCTCCCCTTCTTCTCACGCCAGGCTCATCCTCTCCTAGAGCCTTCGCACTTGCAGGTCCGCTAAGTTTTCCAGGCATCTCTACCCTCTCAAGTCTCTGCCCAATAGCTACTGTCTTGATGTGCTCTTCGACCATTCTGGACTGCATTCTTCTCAACCCAAACTACACTTTTTATTTGCTTTATTGTTTTTTTTCTCCTGTCATCCATAACGAAGGCTTTTTCGTTTCTCTAATCACAGAAGGTGATCAATAAATAGTAACCTAATGACTGTCTTTCCCAGAACTGTCTAAAATGGACAAGAGTGGTAAAGTTCTAAGGGCACATTAATTTCCCTCTTCTCTCCCTGACAGTTTGTGGATCACAGATGCTCAGGCAGACAGGCACAACGCAAAGCGCAAAGCGGGTGATGCAGGTGCCAGTTGATGCAACACAAGGTCGGCAGGGGCCCTGAGTGACAGTTAGACCGGTGGCCGAGTCCACGCCTACCCGCAGGGGCATGGGCGGTCCTCACGCCCCTGAGATTCCAACCCGGAGGGAACAGCCGGGCCCACACGAAGAGGAGGGGGTCAGCGTTGGGGAGGAGCAGGACCCACGTCGAGCCAGCCCGAGAGACCGTGACGTACGAGTCACCACCACCACGCCGCGCCTCCCCATGACACTGGAGACCCCGGTCCAGGCCCGGCCTTCAGGCTCACACCGCGGACGTTAGCACGCAACCCCCCGCCCCGCAGAGTGGTACGGCCCGCCCCGGCCCCGCGCCGAGCAGTGGTAGCGCCGCGTGCGTGACGCACCACCGGCAGTGGGTACCCGCGGCGGCCGCGCCCCCGCGCCCGGCCCCGCCCACCCGGCAGGTCCCGCTACCCTCGCGGCCGCTGGGTCGCTCTGAGGATACAGCATGAGCAGCCGCAGTTCTCGTTCTTTCTGCTTCATCTTCTTCAGAATGGTCAGAAGCCCCATGATCTCGTAGCCCCCTCCCGGCTGCCGTTTCTTCTAGGCCCGGGACCCCGCTCCCGGTTCCTATTGGCCAGTCTGGTGCTTGGTTCCGCCCTCGACACCACGTGACCGTCGGAGTGCGGGGCGTTGCCCCCTAGCGGCGCGGCGGCGAACTTGCTGCCTGCTGGGTTAACTCTTCGCTTCCGGATGGCTGAGGGTTGCGGGGGATTAGGGCAAAGTCCCCTATGCCTCCGACTCCGAGGCCTCGGCCGGGACGCGAAGTTGACATCTCGAGCAGTATCTCCTGTGGGTAGGGAGAACCCGCGAAGGGATTCTGAGCCAGGTGTCCGAACCTCCTTCACAAGGGTCTGACGAATCATCCGCGGATCGTGCTATGGCCTGGTTTCCGCGCTTCTTGTGACTTGCTTTATCCTCCTCTGCCAGTGACGGAGAACGGATTGATCCTGGTCTGGGACTCTGTCGGAAATGGCTGACTTTGCGTTCAGTCGAGGGTGATGATGCCCTCTAGGGGCCGTTTGAAATGGGCGGGCAGTAAGGGCTCCTTTGGGTTTCAGTGACAAAACAGTCACAGTCATTTAAAACTCTAAACTTCCTGCAATGCAGCGATCAGACCCGCACAAAGGATTGCCCCGCTAGGAAGCCATCAGGTTAAGAAGCTCTGTTTTGGATCTGGACGGGCTAGCCGGGCGGTGATAGCACACGCTTTTAATCCCAGCACCAGGGAGGCAGAGACGGGTGGATCTCTGTATTTGTTCCAGGACAGCCAGTGCTATGTAGAGAGACCCTGTCTCCAAATAAATAAGCAAGCAGATTAAAAACAAAACAAACAAAAACAAGAACTTGAAGCCCCCTTGTTGGCATGGAGCAGGTGGCTTTGCCGAAGAGTTAGTTTTTTGTTTTTGTATTCTGAGACAGGGTTCTATTGTGTATAGTCTTGGCTGTCCTGAAACTCCCTCTGTGGATCAGGCTGGTCTCGAACTCACAGAAATACACCTGACTGCCTCCTGAGTGCTAGGATTAAATGTGTGCACCGCCACTTAGTTGGTGGCACACACTTTTAATCCTAGCCCGTGGGAGACAGAGGCAAGTGGATGAGGCCAGCCTAGTCAGTATATGGAGTTCCAGGACAGCCAGTATAGTGAGACTCTTGTCTCAAAAAAAATATTATTGTGTGTAAATTGTGTGTGTGTGGGAGGGTGCACATACAGCTGGAGGTCAGAGGACAACTTTGTGGAGCTTACTCTCCTCACTTCACGTGGGTTCCGGGCAGCAAGCTCATCAGCAGACTTTCTCAGCAAGTGTTTTTCCCTGCTGAACTGGCTCAGTGGCTCAGAAAGTCAGCCTCTTCTCAGCTCTTCCCTTGAGGCCATTCTTATCTTTTTTGAGTTGTTGAAACAGGGTCTCAGGCAGTCAAGGCTGGCCTTAAACTTTCTGTGTAGCTGAGGACAGTGATGAACTCTGGATCCTCCTCCCACTTCCTAAGTGCCGAGATTATAGACTGGTCCACTAAGTACCCATTGTTTGTGGGTTTGTTTTGTTTTTGTTTACATTTGCTGTTCCATTTATATGTCTATAAAAGTTTGCTTCCATGCTTGTCTGGGCAGCATGAGTGCCTGGTGCCCCTGGGGGTCAGAAGAGGGAGCCCCTGGATCTGGAATTATGGTCAGCCCTCAGCTGCCATGCAGGTGCTGGGAATGGAGCAGTAGGTGCTGTTAGCTGATGCACCATCTCTCCAGCCCCCTTTGTTGTTGCTTTGTGAGACAAGGCCTCCTGTAGTCCATGCTGGCCTTGAGCTCCCTGATCCTCTTGTCTTCACCTCCCAAATCTGGGATTGCAAGTGTGTACCACTACCAGTAAAGGCCTATGGAGTGCTGGGGAGCGAATACAGGGCCTCACGAATACTAGGGAATCATTCTACCAACTGAGCTACACTTCCAGCACTCGGGAGGCAGCAGCAGGCATATCTCTGTGAGTTCGAGCCCAGCCTGGTCTACAAGAGCTAGTTCTAGGACAGGCTCCAAAGCCACAGAGAAACCCTGTCTCGAAAAACAAAACAAAACAAAAGTGAAATTAAAACGTTCAAATTGTTACAGCCAAGCTGAATGTGGGCAATGCATGCCTCCAGTCCTGGCACTATGGAGGTGGGTGCAGGATCAGGATCAAGGTCCATCTTCAGCTACTTAGAGAGTGAAGAGCTATCCTAGACTTAGTCTCAAAACACGAGACAAAACAATTTAACCAAATGCCCACAGTTGGGAAAGCTGCCTTTAAAGAGAGGGGGCTCCTGAAGTGGACTGTGACCTAAGCTGACTTCCGAGTCTCTGGGCAGGGAGGGCTCCATTTATGCGAATGAAACAACTGAGCGTGACCTGTGCTGCAGGCGATGGCTGGTGCTTGCTGAGCCGGTCCTCGCTTGAACCAGGACTTCAGGACTGGCAGGATGACAGAGTGAGACTTCTTCCCCAAAACTATAAATAAATAAATAAAGAAAGAAAGAAAGAAAGAAAGAAAGCAGGTGTCACCTTCCAAAGAGCCGCTCTACTCCCCTGTCACCTTCAAGTGACCATAACTAAACTTTTTATTCTGGAACAAAAATGAAAACTGCTAGGACTTAAGGACATCTGTTTAACTGAAAATCGCTGGGCTAGACAGATGGCTCAGTGGGTAAGAGTACTGTCTGCTCTGCCAGAGGACCCAAGTTCAATTCCCAGCACCCACATGGCCAACTTGGAACTCTCTGTAAGGCCAAGATGCTAGTCTTACTTTCCATGTCCCATGCCCATAACAGAGGCACCAACCAGCACTTGGTGGCAGCATACTCAAATATACATTTGTCCATTGAATAGCAGAGACCCGGAAAGTAGAATGTGCAGCCTAAAATTGAAGTGGTAACTGCGTACAGACTAGTTCTGCCCCGGCCTGCTTGAAGACTCTCGCTCATCTCCGGGGGAGTCTCCAATGGCCAAGACAAACCCTGTCCTCAGTGTTTGCTCCTGACTGTTCAGTGGGCGTGTGCCCCACGCAGGACTCTGTCAAGTGCTTCAGAAGACAGGTCAGAGCACTCAGACGTCTTCATTACAGGCCCAGCTGCCTCATGTGGGCGGCACAAGCAGCAGCCTGTCCCATTTGCAGGTGGTGCAAGGAGTGATTATTTTCCCGCAGCCAGTCACTGGTTAGCATATGCCATCCTCAGGCCTCACAGGGACCTTAGGTGTTGGGACTTACGCAGACTCACATGGCCAGCAGCCATTTTCCTGCTCACTTCATCTGTTGCCCGTGGCTTCCTTTAGAACAGGACGGTAGAGGGGCAGTATCCCGCACATCCCTCATGCCTGTAATCCCAGCACTAAGGAGTGAGGCAGGAGGATTGACACCAGTCTGAGGCCAGCTTGAGCTCCATAGTGAGTTCCAGCCTAAGTTAGGCTACATAGAGTGAGACCCTGTCTCAAACAAAGCATGCTGGGTATGGTGGCCCCAGTCTTTAGGCCCAGCACTGGAGAGGCAGAGTTAGGCAGATCTCCGTGAGTTTGAGGTCAGTCCAGTCTACATAGGGAGTTTCAAGACAGCCACGGCTACATAGACTCTGTCTTTAAACAAACAAACAAACAAACAAACAAAACACCAGGGTGGTGGCAGTGCGTGCTTTTAATTTTAGCATTCTTTTTTTGTTTTGTTTTGTTTTTGTTTTTCGAGACTGGGTTTCTCTGTGTAGCCTTGGCTGTCCTAGAACTCACTCTGTAGACCAGGCTGGCCTCGAACTCATCGAGATCCACCAGCCTCTGCCTCTCGAGTGCTGGGATTAAGGGCATGTGCCACCACCTCCCAGCTAATCTTGGCACTCTTGAGTTCAATGACATCTGGTCTACAGAGTGAGTTCCAGGACAGCCAAGGCTACACAGAGAAACCCTGTCTTGAAAAACCAAACAACCACAACAGCAACAAAAACAAAAGGAGGAAGGAAGGAAGGAAGGAAGGAGAGAAAGAAATCATAAAACCAAAACCCAACAACAGAGAAAGCTATTAAAGAAACAAAGAAACAAATGACACCAGCACCTCTCCCAAAACAAAACTTTGGTCACAGTGTCTCAGTTGTTTGCTCATGATTCCTAAGGGCCATAATGACTGGTGATGGGAATGGCTCTGTGTTTTCAGGTGTCCAGCCTGACTGGGCCTCACTTGGCCACCTGAGAGTCTCCACCCACACAGCTTCTGTTCACCTGGAAAGCTGGGAGGCTCCTGGCTGGTTCCTCTGCTCCTGTTGTTTCTTTGAGACAGAATCTTTTTTGTAGCCTAGGCTGTCCTTGACCTTTTGGCCATCCATCCTCTTGCTACAGCCACTTGAATGCCAGGATTGCCCAGCTTCACAGGTTCCTTTTAACCTTGGTAGTTTGAGAACCTAAGCATGTCTGCTAGTGCTTACTATTTGGTCGCTTGGATCAGTCCTGGTCTACTGTTCCTCTCCATGTTAATCCTACCTGGGCCTGGAGTACACTACCCTCCTCTGCCTGCCTCCTAGTGCCTCTCCGTCCAATGTCTAAAACTGTATGTTCTTGTGTAGATATTGGCTGGGACTTTAGCTTGGAGTGCTTGCCTGGTGTATACAGGGCCCAGGGGTAAGTCTCCAGCACCATAAACAGTTAAGCAATCAGTCTAGCAATATTTTAATTAAAATAGTTGGGAATGGTGATATAAACCTATAATTCTAGTAGTTGGGAAATGCAGGCAGAAAGATCAAGAGGTCTGGGTCAATTGAGTTCCAAAACAATCTGGGCTGCATAGAAAACCCAAAATAAATAAGTTCTCTGCCATTGTCAACTGCATAGCAAGTTGGAAGGGACAGGATAGTCTAGGCTACAGGAGACTCAGTCTCATCCAAAAACAATAAAGACAATAATAACACCTTAGCCGGGCGGTGGTGGCACCCGCCTTTAATCCCAGCACTCAGGAGTCAGAGGCAGGCGGATCTCTGTGAGTTCGAGACCAGCCTGGTCTACAAGAGCTAGTTCCAGGACAGGCTCCAAAACCACAGAAAAACCCTGTCTCGAAAAACAAAAACACAACACCTTGAAGCCCAACATGACTCCATTAAAAATTACTGGATGTGGTGATGCACACTTCTAGTCCCAGCACTCAGGAGGCAGAGGCGGACAGATCTCTGTGAGTTTGAGAGCAGCTTAATCTACAGAGTGAGTTCTAGGACAGCAAGAGTCACATAGACCCTGTCTCAAAAAAACAAAAATAAATAATAATTTAAGAACTTGTGTTTATGTGTGTTTGCCTCTTTGTATGTCTGTGCTCCGTGTGCATGCCTGGTACGTGTGGAAGCCAGAAGAGGGTATTGAGTCCTCTGGAACAGGAGTTACAAACAGTTGTGAGCTGCCCTGCGCGGTGATGGGAACTGAACTCCATCCTCTGGAAGCGCAGCAAGTCTTCTTAACTGCTGCGG